GTCAGCTCAAAGTGAGAGTAAATTTTAGAATACACCACTTGGAGTTCATGAGACACAGGCAGAAACCCAATAATTTTGTCAGCAGATGTATAGAACAAGCAAAAGATTGCAACTTCAAATCCAGTGCTCTCAGAAATCATTATGGAGCTGCTTATTGCGTGTACACCATGGCGATGTTCCAGAAAGATCCACTAGAGAAACTGAAAGAAAAACTGTAGAGACTGGTGGAATGGAATGGGTGCAAGGAGAAAATATTTAGGGTCTGGAATGACTCTTGATGAGATAGCCAGCAACACAAGTAAAGCAAAGTGGGTAGTAACTGTAGGCTCTTTACAAATCATGAAGATGTCTGGCACATGCGAACATATGCAAGACCTGCAGACTTAGAAGGCACTTGGACAAAATTTTACAGTAGGTTCACTAGCAAGAATGTGGGAGAAATACAGACCAGTTAGCCTAACATTAGTAGTAGAGAGAATGCTGCAGTCTATTATAAAGGGTGTGTTACAGGACTGTTGGAAATACAAACAGTGTTACACAAAGTCAACATGGATTTATGAAAGAGAAATGATGCTTGAGTAAACCTAATGGAGATTTTTGAGGATGTTACTAGTAGATAAATGAGGATGAATCCATAGTTTATGAGGTATTTGGATAGAGGATCAACAATGATCATGTTGAATGGTGGAGCTGGACTGTTTAGGGGTTCTGGTTTGTGATCAGTAATTTGCTGATTTTTAGGTGGTTCGAATCACCCCCAGATCCCTGGTTCTGACACTGGACTTAACTTAGGGAATGTGAAATGAAGAAGGCAGTAGGCAGATGTTTCAGGGGCAAAAGAATCTCTGCATTTATTAAATACAAAAGGCAAGTACATTACAAGAAATAAAAGGCAAATACAAAACAGTGAAATTGACACTATCGATTATACAGAGGACAGTACTTAAATGCACTATTAAATTAAACACAGATTAAATACTGTTTAAAAACTAAACAGTAGTTTTAATCACAGACACTTTACTCAGACTTCCTAACCTTGGAGGATTCCCTGCTAGCTCGGTTGGATATTTTGGTTCTTGAGAATATAAGCTCACCACTGGGGATAAATGCAATTTTGAAATACAGCTGGCTGTTCCCGCTTGCCGTAGCTGGTGCTTCAGTGAAGACTTTGGACGGTGTAGGCTTTCAGTCTGGGTTTTGAGTCCACATTTGGCCTTGGATCTTCGGGTAAATGCCCTCCAAGGCAGACTTTGGGATACACAACAACACAGAGTCGCCAAATAGATGCTGATAGCCAGGTTTGGTACCCATGAGGATGGCCTCAACCGGGATCTTAGGTTCATGTCACACTACAGGTGACCCCACCACACTATACACTCTCTCTCTCCCTCTCTCCCTCCCTCTCCCTCTCTCCCTCTCACTCACACACACACACACACGTATAAATCTATGGGGTGAATTTGCATTTGGAATTGCAGGTACATTCTACTTTGTTCAAAAAGAACACAATTTGTGGACAGTTAGTGTGGCATTTTATAAATTCCTACTTTGGAAATAAAACCAGTCTGACTCCAAGTTAGTACGCAGCCAGATTGTAAACAAGGCCTCACACTTACAATGTCTGACCTGGGATGTCACCTCTGGTATACTGAGGGAGCTAATAAAACCTTTAGTTACCTTGGGGCAGTGACTTGAAAGAAATTTAGGAATTTGCATATTAATCCTTTCTAACTGATTAAAGATTTAACCACCATCTTAGGTTTGTTTAACACCGCATCAGTTCTATGACCCTTTGATCTTTTGCTTATAAATTCTGTGTCTGATGCCACCACCTCACTGACACCTGAAGAAGGAGTGAGACTCCAAAAGCTTGTCTCTTCAAATAAACCAGTTGGCCTGTCGTGTTATTTTTGACCTGGATTTATTGGGTGAGTACTTGGTTTTTTTTCTTACTCTGTGGTGGGTGTTGCGAGCCAGTTTTTACCTCAGGAGGTGCCTGAGGCCTTGTCAGTTGGGTCAGTGGTTTTCGGAGATCATCGGTTGTCAGGTCTGCTGGTCGTGGTCAGTTCCCGTTGGTTCCCCTGGTGCATAACAGGGTCGTGTCGGTAAATTTCAGGATTGCTGTCGGGATCCTCTGGAGATAGCTGTGCAGAAAGCTCTCGGACCGTTGCTCTTTGGGATCGCTCTGTGGTTCTTGTTTCCGAAGCTGCTTGTTGGGCCTAGAGCCTGTGGGGAAGTTGTTTCTGCAGGAGCTTGTTGTTGAAAAGGCTCTGAATCTCCCAGATGAGGGCTAGCAGTTGTCCAATCAGAGCGCTCCATTACTGCCTCTCAATTCTGTGTTATCCAATGTGTTTCTGCTGTCTCCTTTTGAGGCAGTTGGCTTCCTGATAGTTTAGAATAGGTGTAAATGTATTTTGATTAAGTGAAATGTCCAGTATTTCTGCGAATGAATATTAATTGAAGTTGAGAGTCTTAGTATCTGTAAAGGCTCCATAATGTCTGGTTTATGTTGGTTTCTTAGATCTGATTAATTGTTCTTTTAGAGTTGAGGTGTGGTTTGGATCTTGGGGCTGAACAATGGAGTTTCCAAGCAGCTATCTCTGTCTGTGCAGTCTTCCCAGATCATATCCCAGCTGTGTTTTTTAAACTTTTAAAATTTATGTGCAAACTCCAGGATTTTGGTCCAGTATTTCAGTATATGGGGATGTTTGCTCAATCCTACAACTGATGGGCCAAATGGCCTACTCCTTCTATTTCCATGTTTCCAAGTCTGATTGGGCAGCACTTTAACTATAAAAGCACACCATTCAGAAGCTGAGAAAGACAAGATACTTGGCAATGTCTCTAGCTCTTCCATGCACCATGTACAATCAGTTGAATCATGTCTTCAATACTATAATCCAAAGAAAATGACAATACTAGAAGTAGACATGTCACAAATATGCCTTAGTACATGTCTTCTTCTAAATGACAAACCTGTTGGATCAAAGAGATCTATTGACCATGCAGACAAATTATTTCATTACCAAGTGTGAAACTCTCCTAATCATCTTCAGGATCACAAAGTTCCATACATGCTTATTCAGTAAATTGTTTACTGTTGAGAGAGACCATTAGCCTTTGGAAATTATCTGGTCAAAGCTACTTACAAAGGTACTTTCTCAACTCAAAGATTACTCATTAAGATGTAAAGTTATAACGGTGACATCAGGTAAAAAGATAAAAGCCAGGCTGATGAAGTGTGTACAAGCTTAGAGGATGTAGAGGATGTCTACCACATTGATCTGATGTGCTTTGGTCATCATCTGGAAAAAATTGGCAAGCTAGTGAAGACTCAAGCGACATGTCGGGGACAAACCAGATGTGCCGCTATTACAACAAGTATTCAGTTCCGTCCACCGAAGAATTTGGATTTGTGTTGAGAAGGAGAGTTTGGGAGAAATGGACATTGGATTGGCTAAAGTAGAACTTTATCAATGAAGGACCATGTCATTTCCCATCCTTTTTGCTAGCTTCTGCTGACATATCACCATTTAGCTTTCCAAAGCTAATCTGCCTGCTGGCTGGGTCACAGCTGTGATGCATTACGGAACGGAAGTTGCGTTACAAATTGCATGGCACTTGCAGATACATACTGTGGACGAACCGCATATGTTCTGTGCAATTGTGGCATCACTTATTGCCAAGATACTCCATTGCACAGAACTGTTGTAATTGAGTTGTGTTGTGTTGTGAGTATATTTGAGCTTTTTTTAAAATCGTAAACAATCTCTTAAAACAGACAGGTTAGCTCCATCAAGAAGAATTATGCACATTCTAATTGAATTAACTTCAAATATGAAGGCTATTTATGTGAATTGACAGGACATCCTCAGTCATAGGCAGTAATCAAATAGGCAAATGTTTTCCCACAGGCAACTGTTTCTACAGTGGTTAAGCGCACATTGATCTACTGAGATGGAATTTAACTTCCTACATACATGACTCGTCATTATGAAGGTTTTGTATGTATCCTTCTGATTTGCACCCTAAGTATATGATGTCACTATTTCTAAGTCTTTCCTGATGTAACCATGGTTAAGGTTAGACTGGTGTTCTGGCCCAAAAAGACAGAAAAAAAAAATACACCACGTCTGTTAGTATCTGAAGAGTTAAACGTTTCTAGTGCAGACCTTTTTTCAGAGTTACAGGTTACGTGACAAGTAACTAGAAAATTACAATACAGATGCATGCTGTTTTTCTCTGCAAATCTGTGCTGGCCTTTTTCTCTACGTCAGACACCTGGTCAAATTCCACTTTTCTACTTAGTCTCCAAACCTGCTAATGTTCCTTTATAAAGCAATTGGCTAATTTCCACCAAAAAGAATTTAGTTTAAACATTTCACATCCTAGTATATCTAAGGAGTTTTTCTTATTCTCTGATTTATTTACTTTTGTTATGATTTCATCTTTTATTGTTCTTACTCTTGTCTCAATGATCAGTGGAAATACAAAATTTTTACCAGATAATCCTGAAGACCTCTCGCAAGTTATTCCTTAATATCCTCAGTTCCAAATTGAATTGTCCAAACTTTAAATTTCTTTAACCTGGTTATGTAACAAAATATTTGCACCTGAAATGATAACTAATTTTTCTCCTCTTGACAACTATCAAACTTAGAACAAATTTCATCAAACCATCTATTTCTTAACACAGCATAGGTAGGTTCTTTATGAAGAAAATACTGTGGTTTAAGGTTACTGCTACAGATATTAGTATCCTTAATAAGGATTGCTGTAAGTATGTTTTGTTTAATAAAAAGGTCTTCACACTATGCATGGTAAAATTAGATTTTGCTATGGTAAATAGTTGTAGAAAGTGGTCCATTTTTTATGGGATAAGATGTTCCAGATTGTCTGAATGATTTATTTCTCAATATTTCACCATCACCTAATGTCCTCTGAATATACTGGATAAATGAAATTACCTAAAGCATCCTATTTTGCTTTTTTTTTTGTAGATACTGAGCGTGCAGTGCAATTACTTGCAAAGTATGGCATGAATCTGCCAGAACTAGAGGAGGAGCAACTCCGAATGGCAATTGAGAAAGTCACAAACATTTTAAGAAGTGACTTGTTCCGAGCACTGTTAGGTAATTCTTCTTCTTATATGTTAAATTTAACTAATAGTTAGAACTTTATGACTAGCACAGCAATTTGCATATTTTCAGGAATTAGATCAAATAAAAGTTTCTATGAATAGCATTTGTTTTTTGGGAACAGTGTGGTACCTTAGAGGCCAACATGATGTTTGCAGTACTTATGTGCATTTTTCATGTGAGTTTCATGTGATGACATGTCGACGAGGATGTTAATGGGTTTTGGAGGAAGGTGAAACATGATGTCAATCAGTGTGTAATGCTGAATATGCATTCTGCAGCAGCAAATACCCAACAACATCTAAGTACCCACCTATTTACCCCATTCTTCCACCAGCTCTATTTAAAAAAAAACAAGTACTTTCAGATAGAATGTTCTTCGGCAAGTTCATCAATGATCTTTCCTTCATCATAAGGTCAGACATGGAGAGGTTTGCTGATGGTTGCAATAAGTTCAGCACCATTTGCTACTCCTCAGGTTTTGTAGCAACCTGTATCCATATGCAGCAACACTTGGCAATATCCAGGTTGTGGAAAGTAATACTTAAGTCCCATGGATGCCAGGCAATGGCCAGCTCTAACAAGTTAGGATCTAACCATTGTTCTTTGATATTCAACAGCATTACCATTGCTGAATCCCCCCACTTTCAACATCCTGTGGGTTACCGCTGACCACAGGCTGAAGTGGACAGTCTAATTTTTTTGAAAATCTAACTGTTCGACACCTTAACAGTGTAAAACAATTTAAAGGCAAGCACTCAATTGGGAATCTCCAAAAAGAATTTTTGTCATCTTGCATATTGTCTGCTAAATTCTATCATATAGTCTTCTAAAGAATATGCATCTTACTTTCTAAAATTTATTGAAATTTCATAATTTTTTTTCCTTATTAACGGGATGAGGGCGCCGCTGGCTAGGCAGCATTTATTGTCCATCCCTCATTGCCCAGAGGGCAGTTCAGAGTCAACCACATTGCTGCGGGTCTGGAGTCACATGTAGGCCAGACCAGATAAGGATGGCAGTTTCCTTCCCTAAAGGACATTAGTGAACCAGATGGGTTTTTCCGACAATTGACAATGGATTTATAGTCATCATTAGACTCTTAATTCCAGATATTTTTATTGAATGCAAATTCCGCCATTTGCCGTGGCAGGATTTGAACCCAGGTCCCCAGAACGTTATCTGGGTCTCTGGATTAACAGTCCAGCGATAATACCAATAGACCATCGCATTTAAACGCCTCATTTGCATGTATAGATTATCTTTCCTATAAGTGTTGTCCATAAAACTTTTAATACAATTTGTAAACTGTCCTCGGTGCCCAGTTGTCAAGGTTCTAGCTGTGAGAATACTTTACACCTGATCTTGCTTTTTATAGGAGATGACAGTTCCAAGGCTATACCTGGCTATTCTTTTAAAATATAACTTGTATCCACATATCCATTGATCATACATTCATAGAACCTCAGTGCCAAATCACATCTAAACACTTTTCACTTGGTTTCAGCCATTCTTCCTCGAAAGTAACTCTACTTTACAATCTTCTGTCCGAGCACTTTGTTCCATTGTTTACCTTTAGGCAGCCTTCCTCTGCTACCACTGTCAATCTAGGTCCAAGCCAGCTGGTGAAATAAAAACCAAGACACCTTCCTTTATGGTTAGTGTTTATTAACTGTTCAATCTTACAGCTACTTCCACACTCACTAGTCCCATCAGTTCCCACCTCATACATACATACATAATTAATCAATTAATATCAGTCACTGTCTAACTACTTGTTATAATGTCAGTAATCACTCAGTGTACTTAGAAGCAATTCCCATATCCAAGTCTAAGCTAGAATTGATGTGCAAGACATGTATGCTTCACAAAGAATGTCCTTGCTGAAATCTGTCACCCGCAACATCCTCACCTCAGGACAGTGGCTGGATCCCTATTGACCATAAAGGTGATTGTGGTAATTGACTTTTATGCATGTATGTCCTTCCAGGCTGGTGCTGGAGATAACTGCAACATCTTCGATAACCACTCAATGCTGTATAAGGGAGGACACTGAAGTTCTCTGTTAACAGAGAGTTGACTATATTTTATTCCCTCTTGTTTGGGAGCAGCAGGTGGAATAAGCATTTGGTTTCATTCAGGCTGCAAACTTCTTTCTGGTGCAGGGTGCCACTGAGTACATGCACATTGCTTTCTGAACTCAGGATGTCAAATCTGAACTATACTGCAACAAATCAAAAAGTAGTCGTTAGAAAACAAGTTCTATCCTCTGACCATATGGTTGATAATCCCAGTGTTGCAAATCATAAATATGAGGGTACCATAGATAGAGTAGAAGTCATACTGCTACATACAATGTGATAGAGCAGACATTAGCTAAATTAGGCTGGTCTCATAACCAGTCTTGTAACCTGACACTAGCTTAATGAAATAAATCCTCTATGGGGTCCTCGAGTCCTGGCCGCATTCTCATGACAGCCAGAGGAAGTGCTTCAAGAACGTTCTGAAGGCTTCACGTAGGAGATTGATATCAAATTTGAGTCCTGGGAAAAACTCACCCAGAATCGTTGCACCTGATGAAATAAAATAAAAACGAGGTACACCATCCTTCGAAATTAAGTGAAAGAATATGCAAGGAGAGAATATCCTGAACTAGCAACTTGTTCAGAATATGTCCTGTTTGTGCAGATCAACCTTAGCAGTCACCTAATTACTGAGCAAACCCTGCCAAACTCCCTAGATGATGAACATGGTCATCTTTGCCTTGAAGAAAGTACAACATCCCAAGGAGGCCTGGCCTGATCAGGACTGAAAGCAAAAACAAAGTTGCTGGAAAAGCTCAGCAGGTCTGGCAGCATCTGTGATGGAAAAAACAGAGGTAACGTTTCGGGACCGGTGACCTTTCCTCAGAACTGATGGTGGCTGGGAAAACGTCAGTTTATATGCAGAAAATAGGGAGGTGGGTGGGGTAGGGAGTAAATGATAGGATAGAGCCCAAAGAGAGAGAAAGACAGATGGGCAGACAAAGGAGTTGATAATGATCAGCCTGGGAGGGTGAATAGTTGTTAATGGGGACTGTTAGTGACTAACAACAGCGGGTGTGTAATGGCAGGCTATGTGGTAACAAGGCCTGGTGTGTGGGGTAGGGGGCTGGGACATGGGAGAGCTTAGGCCCTAAAATTATTGAACTCAATATTGAGTCCGGAGGGCTGAAGGGTCCCCAAGCAGAAAATGAGGTGTTGTTCCTCCAGCTTGCGTTGGGCTTTGCTGGAACAGTGCAGCAAGCCAGAGACAGAGATGTTGGCCAGGGAGCAGGCTGGTGCGTTAAAGTGGCAGGCAGCAAGTAGTTCAGGGTCTTTTTTGCAAGCAGAGCGTAAATGTTCTGCGAAGCGGTCGCCAAGTCTACGCTTTGTTTCCCCAATGTAGAGGAGACCACATTGTGAGCAGCGAATGCAGTAGACTAGATTCTGGGAAGTGCAGGTGAAGTGTTGCTTCACCTGGAATGTATGTTTGGGCCCTTGGATACTGGGGAGGGAGGAGGTAAATGGGCAGGTGTTGCACCTTCGCCGGTTACAGGGGAAGGTGCCATAGGGCTGTGGGGGGTATTGGGGGTGAAAGAAGTGTGGACCAGGTGTCCTGGAGGGAACGGTCCCTGCGGAAGGGAGGGGAGGGGAATATGTGTCTGGTGGTGGCATCTTGCTGGAGGTGGTGGAAATGGCATCTGATGATCTTCTGGATGTGGATGCTGGTGGGATGGTAGGTGAGGATAAGGGGAACCCTATTGCTGTTATGGGAGGGAAGAGAAGGGGTGAGGGTGGAAGCATGGGAGATGGGTCGGACCTGGTTGAGGGCTCTGTCGACAACGGAGCTGGGGAATCCTCGGTTGAGGAAGAAGGTGGACATTGCGGAGGCTCCCTTGTCGAATTTGGCCTCATCTGAACATTTGCAACGGAGGTGGAGGAACTGAGAGAATGGGTTGGAGTCTTTACAGGAAGTGGGATGTGAGGATGTATAGTCTAGGTAGCTGTGGGAGTCAGTGGGTTTGTAATGGATATTAATGGCCAGTCTATCCCCAGAAAAGGAAACAGAAATGTCGAGGAAGGAAAGGGAGGAGTCAGAGATAGACCAGGTGAAAGTGAGGGCAGGGTGGATTTTGGAGGCGAAATTGATGAAGTTTTCCAATTCCGGATGAGAGAGGGAAGCAGCACCGATGATATCATCGATGTATCGGAGAAAGAGTTGTGGTTGGGGGCCGGACTAGGACTGGAACAAGGAATATTCCACGCACCCCATGAAGAGACAGGCATAACTAGGGCCCATGCAGGTACCTATGGAAACCCCTCTTACCTGAAGAAAATGAGAGGAGTTAAAAAAGAAGTTATTGAGGGTGAGGACAAGCTTGGCTAAGTGGAGGAGGGTGGTGGTGGGTGGGGATGGTTCAGGTCTTTGCTCCTGGAAGAAGTGGAGAGCCCTAAGACCCTCCTGGTGGGGAATGGACGTATAAAGGGATTGCATGTCCGTGGTAAAGAGAAGGGGGCTGGAACCGGCAAACTGGAAGTTTTGGAACCGGCGTTAGGCATCAGAGGAATCATGGATGTACGTGGGCAGGGATTCAACCAGGGAAGAGCAGACTGAGCCAATGTAGGAAGAGATGAGTTCTGTGGGGAAGGAGCAGGCTGAAACAATGGGTCTGCCGGGACAGTCCTGTTTGTGGATTTTTGGGAGGAGGTAGAAATGAGCTGTGCAGGGTTGGGAGACTATCAGGTTGGAAGCGGAGGCGGGGAGACCACCAGATGAAATGAGATCAGTAACCATAGTGGATACAGTGGCCTGATGTGCCATGGTGCGGTCATGGTCCAGGGGAAGTTGGAGGAGGTATCTGAGAGTTGGCGCTCAGCCTCTGCATGGTAGAGGTCAGTACGCCAGACTACAACAGCACCACCCTTATCGGCAGGCTTGATAACAAAGTCAGGGTTAGATCTGGGTGCATGGAA